CAAAGAGTTTCTTTCTCTCTCGAACAGCATAATTCCAGTGATGTTTGAACGCGTTTGTAGAAACGCCCTGTATACAGGCACCCTGCATCTTCTAGGACCTGCTACCGATGGGCCGGCGAAAAGCGCCGCGCGCGGCCACGTTTGAGTCAGCGTATACGGAGAGCGGTACAGCTCCGCCGCCGCTCACTCTTCCCCCGGGTTTCGGCCAATGTGTCAGCCCAAGCAGTAGTGATGGGCCGAACTTTTGCCGAATCGAGAATTCCGCGCCGAATGTTGCGATTCGGCAAAGCGCCGCACTTTTCCAAAGATTCGTCAGGAATACATTGTCGCCTGACCTCACAATATCGCTTTTCCACCAAAAAAAAAAAAAGGTTTTTATATTTTTTTTAATGCAAATTGACACAGTTGTTACTAAATAAGGTGATATTCTACAAGTTAATTGTATCGGCGTCATTTTTATGTGTTTGCTGGCAATTTTACGGTGACGTTTTGCAAAAGTGGTGTGACAACGAGCTTGGGTGGTAGCGGATAGCGGGCGCAGTCGCGACACGCGAGTTTCGGTTTTGAGGGTTCATCAGCGCACAAGCCTGCAATTGTGTACTTGGTGGAAATAAAGGCGGTAAAACTGTGTGCTGACTTTCAATGCGAGTCACCGTTTGGTGCGCGAAAATGAATGCAACGGCTGCTGAGCCTTCACCAGAAGAGATAACAGTATTAGTGTAAATATGCATGTTTCTTTTTTCTTTTTTTCGAATTTGAGTAAGTTTAGTTGTGCATGAAAATGTGTCTCATATTCGCCACGCCTCGTTTTTAACTTTTAAAAGTCCGTTTTTTTATGTTAGGACACACGTGGACGTTTAAGAGTAAGGAAGGTCGGATGTACAATGTTGAGCATGATAATTATATGATTAGCTTTATGCGGACAGATGAAAACCGCGAAATAACGCTAGATAAAAAAACATTAATATTTTGTTTTGGCAGAAAATACTTGCGGGCCGAGAACAGGATTGCTCTGATGGCGAGGAGTGCTAGTTGTCAGTCAATGTTGCAACTACCTGGTGCATCAGTGGAAATATCAAATGAAAGTCACGTTATCTAGAATGCACCGCATCATTTGCCCCTTCCGCAGTAGATTGCGTCAATTCCTGGTCGATCTCCTGTTCTTGAGGTAGAAAATATTCGAGAAAACCACACTCACCAAGGCTGACAAACTTCACAGTTATCATATACTATGCACCTCGACGTAACCGATGGTAGTACGTATACTGTACGATGGTAACCGCACGAGCGCATGACGTGCATTTGCAATCCATGGCCTCGCGGCCCAGTCGCGTTCTCGCGAGTGCCCAGGCGCTTTCCGAATTTTTGGTGATTCTTTGCAGAGCTTTCCTCCAAAAGTTCGGCGTGTGCCGAACTTCGCCGAATCTCAAGTTCGGCAGTTTCAGTTTCTCACCACCAAGCAGGCATGTCGACCTTGCAACACCCACCGGTGCACCACTGCAGTCGAGCTGCGACTGCCGAGGTCGCTTTCCGAGGAGTACGCGTGACGTCGCCACGAGATGCGCGCGTATCGCCTCTGAGTGATATCTGCAGGGTGCCCATAGACACAGCTGCCAGTCCTTTTTTGAAGGCATCTAATTGCGACACTTATGCGTCCACATTTTTCTTGCAGATTAATAGGTCTATTATTGCGTGGACGAATAACATCTATAGAACCAGGGTTGTAAAAGTTACTTAAAAATGTTGTCTCAGATACAGTTACAGTTACTCATACGCAAAAGTATCTAGGTACGCACCTAGGTCCTCACATAAAAATGTACCTAGGTAGAGTACAGTTACTTTAAAGATACTTTATTTATTTACTTTCCCCAAATTTGTGGGTATTTATTAGAAGTAAAGCTTTTTATACTAAGGATACACACAAAAACGAGGTCGACAAATGTGCTTTATTGGTGTGAATGCGATGTCCTCATCGGAGTTGAGTCGTGGGGATAAGGCACGTGCCTTATCCCCACGCTCCAATCGGTCCACCGAGGCCACAGCTTCCAGTGTTCACCGTGTCACCCCGAAACTGCCAAAACTCGCTGGTAGACGTTCTTGCCCTCAGAGCCGGTGCTGACGTCGACGGGCCCAGAAGACGTCGGCCGCGTGAAGGAACGCATGAGTCGAGTGCACATGCAGCTAACCTTCGCGACGACGAGCGAAAGGCTTCAAGCTTCCTCGTTTTCTTTTCTTTTTTTTTTTTTTCGTTAGTCGGACAGAAATAAGCTGTTTTTTTTTTATTCGGAACTATTTTATTTTGGATTACTCCAAAATTTGAGTCCGATTTGTCGAGTGGAAACTGCATTATATAAGCGACGTTAGATTGCTTTACGATTGCAATTATAATTTATTTTCAATTATATTTCATACATTGTATTCACGGCAGAAGGGAGCCACTACCACGACAAGATACAGGCAACAGATACTGCGAATATCTTTCAAGTTATCTCCTCCCTTGTGTAGCTGTCAGAGGATGTTCAAACAGGCAATGAAGCCGAGTTAGGCTTCAGATGAAGGAAACAGGTCGCTATTTTCCATAAACGGAGTTCCGAAGCGATTCGATAAATCGGTGTCGCTAGAACGGCATCGCTAATCCACCGTTCGCTCAAATGAACACCGCCATTCGCTAAAGTGTCCTTCGAAAAAAACATTATTGGCGGGCCTTCGTTCGCAAAAACGAACGAAGGCCCTGTCCGTGTCGTGCGTGTCTCTTTTTTCGTCCTGTTTGTTCGGGCCTTTTAACCTTTTAAAGGGCCCCTGAAAAGAAAAAAAAAGTTTTTTTTAAACAGTCTGGTTGGAACACGCGTGTCAAAAAATGAATTTTACGCGAAAAAAAAATTTTTTTAGAGCAATATTGACGGCGAGAGATTTATTTGAAGTTTTGCGCGCAAATTCCATGGTCATTCAGCTCGGCTTCTCATTGGTAGCGATGGTCATTCAACTCAGCTTCTCATTGGCCAATAGAATGAGTGACAGCTTAGATGTTGGTTTTAAAATCTTCGTGATTTTTTAAAATCGTCTTTTGAATTACATATTTTTAGGTTTAAGAAACAATCCATCGAATGAATGTCGCAATTGTTTACAAACGTTTTACAAAATCGTAACTTCCGTTCGGATACCACAACAAAACAACAAACAAAAGCTTCGCCATTTTGTTTTCTGTCGTGGTCGCCGTCTTCGCGTTTCGCGTTCTGAAGAGGGCTTGTTGCTTGTGTTAGTTAGTCAGTCATAGTAAGTACTTAGGAAGTGGCGCGGGGTGACAGGTTTCTGTTTTTCTGCTCTTCTTTGCGCGATTCGTGTGTCCCGTTTACCTCATCTTTTGTTTGTTTTCTGGCGCGCGCCAGTGCCAATGTTTGTTTAGATGTCGGTTCCCGTGGTTCCCGTAAAGAGTTTAGTGAGGCACGCGGCACCGCACTCAACGTTTAATAAAAAAAAAATATCAGTTACCACTGCGTGTCCTCGCGGCGGCTTGGAGGATCGTGCGGCTCGAACGAACTCGTCGAGGCACCCGCTTCGCCGCGGCGAAGCGGGTGCCTCGCGGCGATCGGAGCGGACGCCTTCCGGCTGGCGAGGCGTGTCCTCGTACGGACGAAGGCCGAGCTGCTGGCAGCGTTGAAGCAACCGACGCTTCAGGTCGGGGTCCACCGCGACGACTATGTACTGTGTGTACGACCACGGTGACCACGGTACGTGCACGATACGACGCGGTATGTCGTTCGACCGGCAGACAGCCGGCCAGGGGCTGTGTTCCAAATCTCCAAATGGATCCGAGTTTCTCCGGCGGATCGTATCACGTGACAGCACAGATTGAAAAACGCTGTACGCGGGTAGGTTTTAGAACGCCAAGAGTACAAAACCCTCAGCCTGGGGTAAGATCGAGTCAATTTTGGAGGGAAATAAGCGCCAAAAAAAACACGGACAAAGAGTAGATTGACAACGACACAGGGCGCGTTTTGGAACACGGCCAGGAAGTAGCAATGGCTCTCGTGCGGGGCGCAGCCAAGCCAGGAAAGCAGCCAAGCCGATCCACTACGAAGAGGCGGGGACTACCTCTCCTCCACGCGCCCGAAATGCCGAGAGAGAGAAAAGTGGAAAGGAGGTGCCTGCCGACTAAATTGCGTCTGGCGCAGTCAATATTGCTCTAAAAAAAATTTTTTTTCGCGTAAAATTTATTTTTCGACACGCGTGTCTCAACCAGACTGTTTTTGAAAAACTTTTTTCTTCTTTTCAGGGGCCCTTTAAGCAAAAACGTCGTTCAATCGAGTCAATGCCTCCCAGGTCGTACCCAACTCAGCGCTAATCACGGCACATGGTAGTGTGGTAATACTTGAAGAATTATAGTTTCTACCATTTTGACGAAGTGAATAAAAAAATACTCGCAAAAAGTAACTTCACTTAGCTACAACTTACTGGAAAATGTACCTAAGATACCGATGCAGATACAGATACCGAGAAATGAAAGTACCTAGGATTGTACCTCAGGAATAACAAAAGTACCTAGATACCGATTTCCAGTTACTTGGACCTAGGAACTTTACAACCCTGTATAGGACCACCCACACTGCCACCTGAGATACACTTCCCAACGGGACAATCGGAGCGAAAGCGAAAACATCCTCTGAAAACGTTCGAAAAAAAAGCTATCCAAAACACGCGCTACAAGTCCACTCCGCGTGTGGCTGACGTCCGCTTTTCCCAGCACTCCAGACGCGCCAAAGGTCGACAACAGAGGGCAGGAGCCCCTCGGAAAAAGAAACAGAAACAAACTTGGGAATAATGAAATGAAGAAGCAGCCGTTCCAGAGGGGGTTTCTCCCCCCTTCCGATCCTCCCCGGGGGGAGCTTCCGGCACACGACGAGGCCATCCAGTGTTGATCCAGCGGCGCGCTGTGACGTCACGTGACGTCGCGTTGTCACGAGGCGCCGTGACGTCAGGTTTCACGAGCCCCGCGCCGTCACCGCCACCTCCGCCGCCGCGGCCGCGCTCGGCGAAAGCGCGAGCGCGCTTGGATCAAGGAACGGGAAGGAGCGTGTCTCGAGTGGCCGGATCGGTCGCTGCGCCGACTGCGCTCGCTTGCCGCCCCGTCGGAATCGGCTTCTCCGCCGCCGTCGTGCGTAGATCCGTCCTAGCCTCGGTCTGTTTCTCGCCGCCGTGACACCGTTTGACTCCGGAGGAGAAAGAAAAGGCCGCTCGCGGTGTTTGCTCTGCGCGCTCTCGACTTTGGATAAAAGCTCCCCGACTGCTGCCTCCGGATCCGCGCCGGATTTCGCTTCGATTTGGGTGCGCGTTTGTTGGTGTTGTTGGCTGTTGTGGATCGTCAGGAAATACGTGCAGTGCGTACGCTCGTGCCCAGAGTGGTCGATGTATCCACCGGATTACGATGCCTCGTCGGCGTCAAGGTGACAACTTGGCAAGTACGTCTTCTTCTCCACCTCTCAACGTGTTGTTCGTCTTTTTTTAAGTGCGTGGAGGCTGATATGCTGCTGTCATTCACCGGTGATACTTCCAGTCATTTTTTTTTCCACACCGTGTTGCAGTTGTCAACACGTTGTGAAACTACCTTGTTGACAACTGCAACGAGAGTGGAGCTATTTCCTCGGTATTGGTGCGTTCAGAAGCGGAAGACCGAAGATAATTAACGGCGCACGCTGGTTTCAAAGCTCCCTCACAACCGTGTTCGAAACATCTAGTTCCTTTCCCATCGTACGTACTACATGAATCTCGAGTCTCTCATCGTCTCTTTTCAATATCCTCTTCATATACTCCCTTTTTTGTTTCATTTTCACCTGCAGCGATATCACGTGATCTCAACTCCAGCTTCATGATGCAAAATATGTATATGCTTCAGAACCACATTCGGCGCCGCGGAATGGGTGAACATCACCGCGCGACCTTGAAAACATTTCCGTCGCTCGGATAACGCGTCAGCGAGGGGTCGGTCGGATCAGTTATGCGTGCCGCGTCGGCATTTATGCTCGACATGGGACTACAATTTGCCCCCGAGGGCACACGCGCTTGTTGAGCGTGCGGCACTTCCCACCGACGCCCTAAAACGATGCGATCGGCGGGAACGATACGCGTGTGTGTCGAAAGCGAGAAGCACTTCCCGCTTTCATGCTTCGAGTACGAAAGTACCTGACGGCTCGCTAGTGAGTGTTGTCCACCGCGACGACCGATTACAAGAGCGGCGACGTGGGAATTCGGAGGTCGTGCCGCCTTCGAATGTGCACGTGCTTCGGTGAATAGGCTTAGAAACATGAGATGCTAAGCCTAACGTCGTCTACTTCTCTTCCTTCCAGTTCGTGTTATCTCCTTCCTCAAGTTACGTGGCAGAATCGTGGCAGTGTCGGCTTTTTTTCGCGGCATTTTGTACGGGCGATGTAATCATGCTGCGGTCATATCGCAATTGAAGTTGTCGTGCTGCATGCGACGTGCTCAAGTAACTGGCTACCGCCGAGCGCTACTTCTTTAACACCTGCTCTAGTTAATAAATAAATAAAGAATTGTGTAATTCTGTTGTCTGTATGCTTGGACAGCGGACGCTAGTCAGTCCCAACCGGTGTCTAATGTCTCCGTGGTAGTACGACTGCTAGCCTGGGGCCTTTACGTTCATCACGCAAAAGTGATATACGACCGCACTCCGGTACGATACTCGCCCGGTATGTAAAGGTTCTGGGGAAGACTGCGAGTCTCCCGTGTGGTCAGGCGGCGGCCGCACTATCTTGCGGTGCGTGAGATGCTTCCCCCGACCGTTTCGTTAAGTTTTGTTTGTAATTCTTTCGCGTGGCGAGGGACCGCGTGGGCCCTCCGCCGAGGCCCCAGAGGCACGTCTCGTTGGCGGCATCTTTGTCCCCCTCCGTCGGGGTCCTGCTTTCGCGTGTGTATGTTTTTCTTTCTATTTGTGTGCAAAGGCTGTTGCTGCCTCGCGCATTCTAGCAGGTCCTCGTGGGTTTCAACCTAAGAGCTTCGGTCCATTGCCGCACTGGTGGTGGTGACCGGTACCACTGTTTTCGCTACGGAGTTGTTAAGGCGAGTCCGTTGGAGACTTAACGAACTACCGTATAAACCCCCATTCTACCATTGGACCACAGACATCTCGTGTCTTCGAAGAATTTTAAAACAATGCGGAGAGCACGTCGTCTGCCTCTTGAGCAGGCCGGTTGCGGCGACGTCAGACAGACGCCAAGTTCTGATTGGGTTTGATTGGAAGGATAGTGGGTAGACCTTAATGCGAAATGCCTCGAGGTCTACCCACTATTTCTTTTTCAATCGGTCAATAGGAGCTCGGCCTTCCGACATGATCGCAACCCCTGTGCAAGAAGCAGACGAACTTGCACTCCGCATTGGCTGACCTCCCGAGGGCGAGGGGCTCGGAGCCTCCAAAACGGCGTGCGAGGGCGACAGACGGATTTTGACTGCGATCTTAACCTCGTAAGGAGACACCAAATTTCCCCTACTTTGTGCATGATGTCTGTACATTGTTTTGTTTTTAACGCTTTCGTACATTATAGTGTAAATAAACAGTTTACACTGTAGTACCGCGAAGGCTCTCCCACTCCTCCGACTCGGCGCCGAAAAATACCTCCTACCTGCATCTTCGGGACAGTGTTCTGCCATCAGCCTAGTCTCAATGAGGTAAATCGTCCGGCCATCCTCGGGTGTTTAATGCGAGGTCACGCAGTTCCTCGTACTGCCACGGAAATATCGAGCCGGTCAATCATCAGCGACTTTCGATACCTTGTTTCCTGCATGCAGTCGATGTCACCAAGCAGACGACGCGCACAGCGGCGTTTCTTTGGACAACTATATGCTCGACATTCCAGGGGTACAACTTTGGTCACCGCGAGAACAAGATATGATTTGCCTCTCTCCCGGACCGAGCTAAGATATCGCCCGCAGAAAATTCGTCTGCTATCGCAGGCGAGGAACTGGTGTTGTCTGCTACGAAGAGTTATTCGCTGAAGAAGACTGTACGTAGTCTTCCAAAAAAGAAGAAAACAAAAGTAAATCCTCTCACAAACCACGAGTGCCGCGGCAAGTTTAAATCAGACGCAAGCTAAAACCAGGCGCCAGCTGAAATCGTGACCGTCTGCCATTTCACTTTAGAAGCGATGGACAACCCGCGTGCTTCCTTCGCATACCTGAAGTTGTTCTGATGTCGTGCCGACGCGCATATCAATCGGTGGATGAAGCAACGCTCAGGACAAGCACAGGTGCCGCGAGACAAGGGGACCCTAAGCTGTACAATCGGCGAGAATATCGGCGAGATTTCTGACTACCGCGATTGGCCAGCAAAGCTCTCCGAATTTCTCTCGGAGTGTCCAGCTTCGAGCTCCTGATCTCTTGCCGATTGCGTGTTGTTAAAAAGTTATCACCAAAATACTGCCCAATCACAGACTCGCGATCCGGTCGAAAGTCTTGCAAGGAGCGAAAGTATGCAGGCGAGCTGGTTAGGAAACATAATAATCTAGACCCATCATAATGTGAAGTTGAACCCCTTTTTTTCCTGTCCCAGGGTTTAGGTTATGATGTCGAAAGTTTGGTGGTTAACGCGGGTCCAACAGACTCCCGTGTCTCCACGTTTAATGAGCAGCCGACCAAGGTCTCCCTTCCACCTTGTCCAAAATCGAATCCCAGATGTCTATGATACAGCCCCGGTTTCTCCTATCGACCTTTAGGTCACGGGAAAGTGACCTCCCCTCTTTTCAAGTAGACTGATCTAACGGATGCTACACAGACCACTCGTATCTTCAACCTAGTAGTTTTTGTTATACATTCCTTTCGGCAACTCCTCGCGACACTCCGTGTTGCTAGGAATGTCATTGCGGTACGACATACCGGCGGTTATAAGATCGTTGACGCAGTGCTCCGACCAGCCTTGGTTTTATTGCCTCACGTGAGAAAAACCTCAAACGCTTGTTCTTAATTTCCTGTTTACTTGTGCGTCCAGGAAAAAGACGCACCACCTTTTGAGCTCAGCTGCGTTTTATCCACGCGTTCGTCATTATACATCTACGCGTTGACACGCGTGGTGACGCCTTTCACCCATACAAAGAAAGCTCGGCAGAAACTGAAGGTCAAACCTGCGCGTATCCGAGCGCCGTCTGCCATCCATCGAGTCAAGTATCGCGACCAATAAAAGAACATATGGCAGTTTGCTCCCGGAACATCAGTCAGGAAAAAAGAAGTACCGAGCAGAATTCTTTGGTCACCTGAAACAACATTCGCTTTTTAGAGAAAGGTCAAGTATACAATTCAGTTTGACATGTTGGATGAGCCACTGCATCCTACGCAGGTGCAACTATTTCCTGATGATTGGCGGCATTCGAAGCTGCGCACACTACTTCTTTTTGTTTATTCGTATAAATATACCGTGAGCTTGGTTTCTCGTGCGAAATATACATACCAATTACATTCGGATCCCGATTTAAACTGTGTCACAATTTTATTTCAAGTCAGAGTTTTTAGCAAAGACTAACCATGTTATTTTCAATGGCGGCAAAGTTTCGGCATGGGGCTCGGATGTTTGTTTATCTCCTTATCTCCTTACCTTTTGTGCAGCGTAATATTTTCCACCTTGAACCTTGTTTTGTTTATCACGATCTCAACACTTCTGGAATGTTTTTCCCCTTATCATTTGTTTGATTGCTCGTTGTACTTGAGAGTTAATTTTATTTCTTTTTCTTTTTTGACAATGGCCAGACAATATCGATCTCCCCCTTACACTCCCCCCCCCCCACACACACACACACATACACACGTTAAATTTAGGGAAATGTTACAGCTCCCAAAAACCTTCAGAGAAAATATTTCAAGCGGGAGTGCCATCTTGGTTAGTGCTTAAACACTCGATATGCGACCGCCTGCATGCCGTGTAAAAAATGTCGCGGTCAAAACGAAATATTTTCTAGATTTATTTATCCTCCCGCGCTCCTCCCCCCCCCCCCCCCCCCCCCCCCCCCACCTCACTTGGAAGTGCTGGCCTAGCAATACCATGTGGAACAACAGATATTTCTTCAGTAGTAGTCATAACTCACAGCTGCATTGACCGTACGACAGCGATCTGAATTATATTGGCGTCTCTCTGCAGGAATAGTGATGTGTTCGAACACATTTTACAGCCCACCACTTGGCAGCTCAGCGTTCAGTTGTCGCAACAGCATGAGATGTATATGTTTGACCCTAGCGCTCCCTTTTTCTTTGATTCTATAAATATATCCATTTTCGCTGCTCGGCACCTGGGAAAAAAATGGATTCGACACCTCGCTGCATGTGGCTAGAGACGCTTTGCACACGCACCAGATTATAGCCGCCATTGCTGACCTTCTCTCGTATTACCGAGATACCGAGCCACTGAAGCGGGCTTTGACGAGCCTCCACAAAGGCCAATGCTGGGGAGAAGGACACAGTCGAA